GTGAAAATAAAGACAAATTCGGAATCAGATATGAAATATTAGATTTTAAATGATTTGGTCAATCGTGTTGTTAATAAGTCACACCACATTGATGCAGTATTGGTTATGAATAAATTGATGGATGTTTTATGCGGAGATATTGGATAATAATATGTCAAAATGGAAATATTTCTATTTCGTTGAATTCTTGCCTTAATTTGCTCTGTATGCGATGGGTGGATCGTATTCTCCCAGCGTATATATACTGACATCGGAAAAATCGACTGCGCGTTCACATGACATTCCTGCGAGTATCCCGATTCCCCGATGAATTAGTAATTGACTTCATTATTCAAATGTTACGGCAGATAACGATCGCTTCAAATTTGTCCTCTGCGAAAAGCAGCAGCCGCCCTTTAAGATTAAGATATTCAATCATATGTTTATCGAAATACAGTTTTTGTAATTATCTTCCTGTCATTACTTTTTTGAACAGTGGAAAGTGAGTAAAATTCAACTGTGAATAAACTTGACATCAAAGAAAACAGTTTGTAATAAGAGGGTTTATATTAAGGTTGCGTGACATATATGAATCTTCTATCTTGTGATATAACTCTTGACATTCTGGAAAATTGTCAATATTAATACTGGACGGAGAAGTTAACGATGTTACCTAGCAATTTTGTTAAACACATGCGAGACGGAAGCGCGGTGCAACGGACTGCTGAATTATTGATGTTTTCCATTCATTTAACGTTGTTTTTACGTTTATTCGGGGGAACTTCCCAAGTACCCACATAGCATTATAGTATAGTGTTATATAGTGTAGTAGTAATTATACCTACAGCTTTGCAAGATTTCCAATGAAGTGAACTATAAAGATTTACATGTGATAAATGTTTGTATTCCGATTATCGTACAGCAGATATTAGGATCGTTATAAGTATGAATTGCTCCTAAATCTTTGCCGCTGTCGAGCATGCTATTGGTAATGCTTGTTAGGTGTTTTCTAAATAACTCACAGCTCGCGACAGTTGAGTATAATCGTACCGGGATGATCACACTAGCCCTCATTTTTGTGGAATCTCGCTAGTCTGTATGGTCGATTTCATTTCAGTGCGGCGGAAAATTCCCCGAATAGATAGAAATATGATACGACAATAGAAGTCATGCGATGCGTTATATTCTTCACGTGATATTTGCGCAAGCAAAGACACGCCTAAGCGTGCAGAGCTCGTAACGTGACCAGAGAATAAAAAACTTGGTATTTTTACGCAGGCCCAATTTGAAAATACTAATGCTAATGTTTTGAGGAATACTGATCAATTCAAAAATGTAAATTTACTTTTATTGGTACTAGTTCTAATGTTTTGAGATATATAGTGTAAAATAGAGAACAATACTGTATTCAACCGAGAGATTATCTTGGAAAGATTATGAGCTCTAAACGGATATTCGTCATGCTCCTATAAAACTCAAAACTTCCGCAACTCCAGTAAACCCAGTTGGGAAGTAATATTATTTGCTTAGCTTCCACGCTTTAGATTTAGATGAACGATATTGCTATCATAGTTTTTCGGGTTCAGTTTTTTTTTTCATTCAGTTTCATTTGATTGTGATCGCCCAGGATAATTGAAATTGAGTAATGCAAAGTCGAATGTTGTTTTCCCCATTGAATAAATAGCGACTCGAACTTCAAATTAAGCAGCAAGTTTCTATTGTTGGAAAACGCCCTATCATTTGTAGGATATGTATCTTTCACAGATTGATAGTTGCGTTACCTGGTTGCAGACAAACCATGTAATTCTGATAATCGTTTTCGGAGTTGTCACATTTTCCGCGAATGCCATTTCTGGGACCAGTCAAACAATCTCGAAAAGTGCCAAAAGCTTTTTAGATTTCAATTCAGTTGCAGGCAAGATAATTTTAGGTAGGATTAGATGTGATAAATTGGTCTTATTCATCACTTTGTTTTGATTGATACCGATAGACTGTTGACACACTTTTTAAATGAATTTCAGCGACACTTTAGTCGTTTTTTCCGCAAATTGTTAGCTTGCGGTAAACAGTGGTTTATTATTTACGTCTGAGGGAGTTTAATACCGGGAATACGCGTGACCAGGTAATCTTTCCATGTCTGCAACATCAAAGAGGCTTTGGTTGCAGTAAGTTATCAATACTGATAAACCGAACACTGTTATTACTATTCTATTCAATTAAAGAGTCCAGCTGCACACTAACACAAATGTATTTCTGTAACGTTTCGTCCGACCAGAATCAGACTTCCTCAGACAAGCAGTTTACAACAATTGTTGCTAGCCCCATTGTATTTGTATTTCCAAATGTATTTCTGTAAGGTTTCGTCCGACCAGAATCAGACTTTCTCAGACAAGCAGTTTACAACAATTTTTGCTAGCCCCATTGTTGTAAACTGCTTGTCTGAGGAAGTCTGATTCTGGTCGGACGAAACGTTACAGAAATACATTTGTGTTAGTGTGCAGCTGGACTCTTTAATTGAATAGAATAGTCATGTTTATTCCAGCTACAGTATCCTTGCAGTATACGCATACGGATCCACTAGCATAAAGGCATAGAGAAAAGATAGGAAGTTAGTCTCGCGCAACCCAACTCAAATTTACTGTTATTACTTATCAATTTTAATCGGTAAGTATGTTGATAGGTATTTGTCTGTCTGTTAGATGCACGCGATATCTCACGAAAGCGAGATTGAATATGCTCCAGATTTTGCATGTGCATTTATCATATTTCGGACCAGAAGCCTATTGATTTTGGATGAATTATGTCGTATAATTAGCGAGTTATTAATTAATTAGTGATAGGACACAAGGTGTCACTATGGAGTAAAAGCACTGTTTTAGGGGTCCCCTAACTTTCGATCGATAAGTCTTCGGTCTTTGACCGATATTCTCGTTACTTGTCGATCTTAAGATCGGTAAGTATATTGATAGGTATTTGTCTGTATGTATGTCTGTGTGTGTGTCTGTTAGATGCACGCGATATCTCACGAAAGCGAGATTGAATCTGCTCCAGATTTTGCATGTGCATTCATCCTATCTCGGACCAGAAGCCTATTGATTTTGGGCGAATTATGTCGTATAATTAGCGAGTTATCAATCAATTATTGATATAGTGATCTAGATTTTTGTAAAGCGAGAGAATTTTGAAACTCGCCGAGTGTGTGTGTGCGATGCGCAGTGCGCAAGTTACAAGAGCGGATGAATCGAAACTGCAGTTTCTGTTTTGGGGGATCCCCTAACTATCGATCGATAAGTCTTCGGTTTCCAACCGATATTCTCGTTTAACTATTGTCACGTTGAGATATGAACGCATAAATGTGCAATTCACCAGGTTCTTGAATACAATTTTCACCATGTAAATATTGTCGTACGGATTACTGTTATATTTCATTTCAAGTTATCTAACAAGTGACTGGTTTCAAATGTTTTGCTTTAAATTCACGGGTCTTTCAGTATAGCAATTGAGAAGGTACTAAAATTTATTAAATGAAGGTTCTACTGATTACAAAAAAAAATAATTCTTTCGAAATTGCACATCGAGGTGGATGAAGATGAAATTGAGGCAACAGCCTAGTTCCACTCTGAGCCCAAGGGCTTGATAACATGATCGATAGGGGTCAAAATTTCTTTTGTAATAGTGGTTAAATCGAAACCACAGTTTCATCTTACTTGCGCTTGCCTTGCAATACATATCGGGTCAAATCTTTCATAAATATTAGTTTGACATACTTACTGTCCAGTGGCGTTTCTGTATTTATCTATGGCAGTGGTTCTCAACCTTTTACTGACCGCGTACCACTTTTGTGTTTTTACCATGGCCGCGTACAGCTGCCAAAATCGCTTTTGTGGCGAGGAACAATGGCACAAGAAACGCTCTATGGTAGTATTTTATGTGGCACTACATCCATTTTTAGAGCTTCGTGCAAAGTTTCAACCTATTAATTATATGCAGTAACTACGTAATAATGGCGTGCAAAATCACGGGAGAATTTGCGTCGTCTACCGTCAGAGCTGAAAGGCTCTAATCATCGCCACCACTGAATTATCGCAAAACTCGGACAAATACACTTTGGTCGGTGCCAGTCGCTATCCGGAACTGCCTAACCTAGTCTTCAAATTATTTGACATCAAAAGTCAAGATTATGCCGATCAGCTAACACATACATCAGATAATAAAAGTAACATCCTTGTGGTGGTATCTTGACACGCGTCAACCCCCCCCCCCCCCTCCGAAGTCCAAACTCTCTCTTCGTTGCCTATTTCCTAATGCAGATGCATTGTGGACGTAACACGTAAAACGGGCGAAAATATGCCCGCCTCGTTTCCTTTAAGGTGGGCAGTAGCGGGCGAGAGAGCCCTATAAACAGAATGACTGGTAACGCTATAAAATAAACTATTCAGCTAATACATAAAGCGTTTCTGTCATATTTTAGCCACCTCAAAAGTCGGTTGTTGCAATAATTCAAAGCTTCTCGCGTACCATTTGAAAAGCCCCCGCGTACCACTAGTGGTACGCGTACCACAGGTTGAGAACCACTGATCTATGGGTACAATTCTGGAGTAATGCAAAGCAAATGAACGAGCAAGCTTCAAAAAAAAATGTCTTACGCGGAATTGTATGTCAAAATAGTTCACAATGAGCATACAAATACAATCCATTGGTTGATTCCACTTATCTATTGGTAAATCTATGTTTCTCATTACAAGTGCACTTATCCCACGAGATATAAGAGGTCATTTTTTCGATTATTAATGCGGTATATCGAATATATACAAGATTGCTGAAGTACAAACTTTGGGTAGTCTAGACCGGAGAAAGCAGGACATTGGATAAAATCAATTGTTTTGTATCAGTGGAGAATATGTAAACAAGTCCCTTATTACGTAACACCCATCATTTGTCTCGTGAAGTATGCTTTGGTTGATAATAATAAGTCGAGCTGCAGTATGCCTGGTGTTCGTCAAAACTTGCTCTTTAAATGCTATTGCTATTTTATTTGCAGAAGTAGAATATTTATTCATACTGAGTTTGTGGTTCAAACTTGAAGCAAAACATAAATGGCTGCCGAAAAGCAGGGAATGTATCCTCCCGCGGGAGAAAATCCGCCAGCCTATCCTGGTGGACCAGGACCTGCCGCGCCGGGACCGCAACAGCCGCCTCCAGGTGGGTACGCTGCACCCCCTCCAGGTGGTTACGTTGCACCGCCCCCGGGTGCCTATCCTCCTGGCCAAGGACCACCGTATCAGACACAATACAACGCACCCCCAGGATCAGTGCCACCCCCAGGCTCAGTGCCACCCCCAGGAGGTTATATTGTTGGACAACCCGTTGTGGTCGGACAACCAATGGGTCAACAAGTTGTGATTGTTCAGCAACATATGTTCAGGTAAACTAAATGTTACATAAATTATTATAGACTTCAGATGGATCGCAATAAAAAGTAGCGATAATAGGGTAACTTACGTTAGAGCTTGTTTCAAAAATATCAAATGGTATGAAATTATGGATACAATATATTATTATAACCTTAGATAAGACGACGAGTTTGTTGTGTAGGCCAGCAATTTCGTTTGTGTAAATCAAACATACTGTTAAATATAAACTGTATTCCTTGCATGGTACTCCACAGACATAAAAACACACTTTCATCGATTAATTTAATGGCTAATATAATTTTTTATAAAATATTACAGCCCACCGGTTGGAAAGCGATTTAATGGATTTTATCATACCTTTGATGCTTTTAGCGTCGGATAGTTGCTAATTTTGCCATATAAAGTAGATTGGGAAAATACCGACATGGCGACATTGATCAATGCTCTGTTCTAAATATACAGTATTTTACCGAGTTTATGTACACCTGGCAACTGCTGTATTGCTTTATATTGGGAAGCCCGACAGGAAGGCTTAGGTCATTGGTCGTCACGTCATATGCCATATGGATATTTTAATTTCATAAGAACTATGTTAACTAAGTTTGTGTTGATATTAATAGGATCTTTTGGTAGGAAACATTAATGTTAACATCTTTTGTTGTTTTAGGCAATCTCCTGTCAACACAGTATGCCCACACTGCTCTCAGAATATAATTACCAGTACGAACGCCGAAGCTGGAGGTTTGACTTGGTTATTGTGTGCTGGAATATGTCTGTTTGGTTTTTGGCTTGGCTGTTGCCTCATTCCGTTCTGTATCGATGATTGTCAAGACATACGCCACTCCTGTCCCAACTGCAAGAATACTATTCACGTGTTCAGAAGGCTTTGAAGCGTGACGAAAACAAGGCCGGAGTAAACCACCTGAAGTCTGTGTCAACCGGTTCAAATTTTAAGAGCTACGTATAACTGTAAATATTATACTGATGCGGTAATTCCGTCTCAAGAACACTTATGCCCTTGGCAAAGGCAGAGCATTTTCCAGATCGTTTTGTGGATGGATAGTGCGATTCACCAATCACATAAAATTAATTTTTAGAGACCATTGTTACATACACATATTGTCATATTAACCCTACAAATCGTGCATATCAATTTTTATTTCATTAGCACGGTCCAATACGATGAATCCAGTTTTATTTACTTTAACTACTTGGGATACAGTGAGAAAACTTTCCGACAACAAAGATATTATATAACTCGTACACATAAAATGATTCCTTTTTCGATAACACAATTGATAAGCAGTTTGGAGTGTCCTGCTAGCGTTATTTTGCCTATATACATATAGTAAACATTCATCATCGTGGCGCGATTTCGGATTTCTATTTTCCATTTGCCTTCTTTTGTTTGATCAATACAGAACGGTCAATTTTTGTAAGCAATCTAAGTTTACTTCATGTCTATTTTTATCACTTTTGATAAATATTTTAAATCATGCTTTGTTACTGAGCCTTTCGGAGAATTTTGTAAATATACTGCCACAGTGCCCATTGCTGTTCATAGACTTAGTATTTCAATAATAAAACGTCTTTCTTAATCAAGAGAAATAAATGATAACATTTCACTTACACTGTTGAAAAATATTTGCTAACTTGACGTGCATATGTACTAAATTGTTTGATTATAAAAAAGCTCTGAAAACAAAAATGCATTTTGATGGAAAAAAAACTGGATAAAGTCATCAAATTGTTTATATATGGCAAAATATAATTTTGTCTTATTTTAGTTCATTTTATTGCATAATAATTTCGTGTTTTAGTTAGGCATTCATTGTCTATCATTTTAATCATGATATATTTTGACATCTGCATCATTTACTGTTACAATAAGAAGGTCGATTTTCATACATTCAATTCAAATAGACATTATAAATTTAATGATCTTAAATTGAATTATTGTTATTTAATTTCAACCTTATTCGCGAATAGTTAGCTTTAATTAGTTCGAATCATACCACAAATCTATTAACACTATCTAAAAAAATGGAATGTCACTTTCATACCCAACTAATTGTGATCTTTTATTGCTAAATTGTTTTTATGTTTTTTCTTCATCAAGCATGAGTTATTAAATAAATGCCGTTTTAGGGGATTGGAATATACAAATGACAGAATAACTAGGCTGTAATAAATTTAGCTGATACTTAACGGAAAGACTCTTTTCACGCTCATTATGCCTCCTATTTGGCTACTATTCATTCTCTTTGTAGCGGAGGTATATGCCCTTAAAAGAAAATCTAAGATTTGGGTATGAAAATTTCATGTCTTACATATCGGCTTGATATATGTTGATTATCTGGAATTTGAATTGTGTCGCATAATTGATTTTCATCCATGCTATTTTCGGATTGGATCAGATTGAACTCATGCTTGTTGGGGAAAGAACTAATGACATCATTTTAACTAGATATTAAACAATATTGCATAAACGTGTTTTTTTTTTCAAAAAAGTAAAGATAAAGCTTCATTAAACTTTGTTATGTCTTGTTTATTAGATGGGTTTTTGAGTTTAAAAGTGAACAAAAGCCGAATACCATCATTTCACCCATCGCCTAAAAATGATATGTCTTTTGAAAAATCACTTCAAAGATTTGATGTGGAAGATTGAAAAGGGAAGCGCAAAGTGATATAGTATATAGGGCAGGGTGGTCCAAGGTTGTCGGCTACGGGGGGCACAAAATTATTTTTGCATTGTTTGCGGGCCACAATAGTGTCAAGAATAGGTAAACAGAGCAATACAAAACAAACACTTTTATTGTGCAAACACATTGCTTGGTATTTGTCATTTATCCAGCTAACCCATGCAAAAACTACTCAAAAACTTACTGAAACCTGTAAAAGTCTTTCTATATCTACATATTAGGGATGGGACGAGTCCGGCATTACAGAGATTCGACGAATCCGAGTAATAGGTCAAGGACTCGAATCGAATCCTCCGAGTCATTGACGTCACAATGTAAAAGTAGAAAAACACGTTTTTGACCATACTACAGCATCGCGCGCTTACAAACATACGTCGTAGCTCATATTTTTTTCCTAATGGTTCCGCAGATAGCTGTTAAATCAATTTAAAAATATATTTTTCTTCTTTTTTGGCGGCCATAATACAAACGTAAACGCGGGTCAACTGGATTTCCAGCCCACCACCTTGCATCAATTCTGGGCGGCTGTTTAATAATTTTTGCATGTCAATATGAAAAATAAAAAGCTTTTGACTAAAATCCATAATTCCAGATATTTCTAGCCTCTAACACATATTTCTTCGACTCGAATCCGAGTCCAGATCCGAATCCCGGCCCATCCCTACTACATATAGTGTAAGATTTCAAACTCTTCATAACGGAAAAGTGCTTCCACAAATGTAAGTGCTTTCGAACATCGATAAGATTTTTAAAGCAAAATCTTAACTTTGAAAAATGCCGATTGCTCACAAGATTCTAAAATGCCGTTAAAAATTCAATTGTTTTGTCACCGACACAACTTGCCGGCATATCAAGCAAGATTTGTGGTATTTTCCCTCCCAGATCTAGTTAAAAATCTGTTTGAATTCGTCAGCTTTCTTCCCAAACTCATGTTTACAAAAAACTTACTTTAAATAACTGCAGATTGATTGATTACCAAATATGAGGTACAGAAGGGTAATTACCAACTTTTCTGACATATTACCTATATTTTTGTAATACTGCTTAGCCTTAGGCTATTTGCAAAAAACACCCGGCATGAATTATATTGTTAGGCCACAACATTAATGTTCAGTTTTCAGGCCTAGCCAACCCAGGCTAATAGAATCCGCATTCGATATTTAGTTTTCTATGATGCCAAAATTGTTAGCATATATTCCCGACCAAAACGATAGAAAGCCAAATAACAAGTTAGACGGCCAAGCACATCATTCAACTTTACTAGTTGCCTCAGTTAGCCATAACACTAGTCAATTCAGTGACATTAGTGTTGTAACAATATGTTAAAAGATTTTTCTGGTTAATTTAATGACGAGACAACACGAAATGCAATTTTTTTGATTACTCTCCGAATGCGACGCGGACCACAGATAATGAAGCGGCGGGCCTGGGTTCGGACCACCACTGATATAGGGTGTCCATGAAGTCCTAAAAATTTAAAATTCATAGATAACATAAATTGTTTTGGCCCTCACTGATGTATTAATTGAAATAAAAATACCTAAACAATTACTGGTCAAGATATAGAAAACCTGGTTAATTAAGATACATTGTAGTAACATAGAGAACTGACTTCCTAACAAAATTGAAATTGTAAAAGGACATTATGGACACCCTGGCTTCAATCGATTCGTTACCAAATAATTTTTTCGTATACCCCATTAAAATTGATAGGATCACCGACCATGCCAAGCGTTATTAGCATGAATTGGCATTCAATTGAATTAAATTCTACGATTTCATGGAAATCAAGCCTCTGTTTTAACTATATCATACCCCTGTCCATGAACGGGTCATGTTCCTCTATAGTTTTGTACAGTTTAATCCAAACAGAATGGTTTATAGCCTTAGTTGACAATCATCTTAGTGATATATACACCCCATCTGTTCATTTGATGAACAACGTGGACATTCTGTTGCTGTGCACTGATTTGCGGTTATTAGTCTTTATAAAAAAATAACTGCAGCGTTATTAAGATTGTTGGTAAGACATCAGAATAATGCTTTAAAATAGGCAATTTTGGTATTGACTCAAAGTTAGTTAAAAAGAATATGCAACTTATTTGTCAGTCTGTTTGAAACCTCACCCAAGTGAATGCATTGTGTTTTTATGGTTTGGTTGTATTTGCTTTGACTCGATCCATTTAGCAAATAAAGGGTATACTCATTTTTATGTCAATATTTGCATTTCACAGAACAAGTGAAATAAAAATATATTGTCCAACCATGTCTATGGATTCCGATGTTAAAATTCCTACTAAAAAATACTCGTGGCTTCATGAAGACGTAAAACGTCGTCATACGACTTGTCTATTGGCGCAAGTAACTCCTTCTTCTCTTAATTTTACACTATTTTATATTATTGTTAAGTATATAGACTTCGTGTCGACTTGACAGTATTCTGTGAGTGGAGTCTTGGAGGGGAATTTGAAAATTTGTGATTGTGATATAGATTCGTAACTGTGTGTTGTGACTAAAGATACCATCATGTGATTAGTAATCAAAAACTGGTATGTAATGTCTGATTCCATGAAAGTCGTTTCTATTAGTCTAATACACCGCCAAGTATATCAAGGAATATTTTTATTGGGCAACGAACGAAAGAAGATGGTTTCATTGAAGTCTCTAAATCGGCTATGTATATAAATTAATGCAAGGATTGTTGTCTTCTGTTATATATATATATATGGCTCTTAAACCATATGACTAAAATTGAATCACCGGTTGTTAATCTGCTAGTAGATATCGATTTTATATATCCAGTGTCTGCTGGCACGAAACTTTCACTCCTGCTCAACGGATATTTACGAGAATTTGCCATATCTATTACAGAAATAAACCTATTTAGAACTCTCAGTGCGTCAGTTGTTTTTTTATAGCCTAACAAATCTTTTGAAAAATTTCTTATTTCATTTAGGTGCTCACGAACTTGCTATATATATCTCTATTATAGAGATCTGATTCGATTATTTCACGTTAATACGATGATAAACTAACGATAGTTATATATAGATTTTAACAATTTTGCTTCGACGGTGCAGATTGCTTGAGACAATTTACTTTGGCAAAGAAATCGACACAATACCATGACTTCAGAGAAGGTTATCAATGTTCAATTACTTCCTGAGCATTATTACCAAAGAAATGTCGAACAGCCCGTATGCAATTCTAGCCAATTATTACTAGCATATGGTGGAGGTTTTCAGTTTAATTCTTCTGGAGACTGGACAATACAATCGGAAAAATTATCACTGGAACTAAATACAACGAGCGAGAGGGATGGAATTGATCCGTATATATTACAAATGTCTACTATTTCTTCTCAGTCCAATTCGTCAGATCCTAGACCTCTTAAATTGAGAAGAAAGCCGAAACGACTGATCTGTCCATATTGCAGGCACCATGTCGTAACCGAAACATCAATGGAGACTTGGGACGGAATCTGCGTCTTGGGCACTCTTTGCTTTTGTTGCTTCTTTTTGGGACTATTTTGTCTTATACCTTGGGCTCTCCAGAAAAATTACGATATTAATCATCGCTGTCCAAATTGCAAACAAAATCTAGGAACTTACACTCTAAGAACGCCAAAGAGAGAAGGAGATTGGTGTTGAAGTTTCAACGGATTAAAGAATCACCCGCAATAATCACACACCAAACGGATTGTTGGTTGTCTCGGCGCTTGTCAAACTTTTTTTGCCCCGAAACACCTACGCTTTTTACCTTGCCACGCGGAACACCAGGATATTAGAAGGTAAATCGTGGCTTTTAAAATAATTAGACCACGGTGAAATGTTTGCTGTAAACTTGACCATTATAAAATTAGGCCATCGGTTCACGAGAACTCCATGTTTTTTCCAGGCCCATCCGCCTGTTCAGATCGAAAGGCCTGTCCGCCTGATTTTCGCCAATTGGGAAAGATATAGCCGCCATGGCAACCAGTTTGGTGGCAACAATTTTGATACCCGTTCCGCGGAACACTCCGAAGAATACAGTTTGAGAAACGCTTGTCTATACGTATCCATATCGTCAAAGTTTTGACTGATGATGTTATACAAAATTCAATGAAACAGAGTCACGCAAATTTTACATGTTCATAACATTTCCAAGCCATTTTGCTTTTATTATTTTACCGGTAAAAAATTTTCAATTCAAAGCAGGGGTGTGCAGCCTTTTTCGCAGGCGGGGCAGATCTCAATAACTGGGTAAAACCGCGGACGCTTCTTCATTTATCATAGGCTTTCTATTAGTTGCAGGCACAAAATAGTGTATTTTTATCATTGGTCTTATGGCATTATCAGGGGTCCTTGCAGAAATGTTGAGTTGAAACGCATGAATTTTGGAAAACTGTCATTCATTTCAAATTTTTTGTCACTACTAAGTTAAACGAATTAATTCAGTGGAAAATTTGCTGCTGGATCCTTTCCCGGATACTTTTATCCAAATTTGCTATAATAGAAGATCGATCCATGAACATCCATTTTCCATGAGGCCTATTTTAGAAAATAATATGTTGGGCGGAAAATGCCATATTCGGAGCCATGATTTTTTTCAAATGTGGAAAGTTATCTTGGTTGAGATGTTCTCGGTAAATATCGCCAGGATTCATTTTCAAATATTTTGCTGTCAAATCTTATTCTAGATTAGATTTAGTAAAAATCAAGTGATAGACTAAAACCAAAACTCAATTAGCTTTTTATCTCGTAATATTAATTTTTTTAAACTGCTTTCCAATTGCCTAATGTTCAATTCTGAGACTTCTTACAAATTCATTAGCGTCTGCTCCGCACTTTCCTCA